ATATTTGTAGATATTATTTATTGTGCAGTATGTTATACAGTGTGAAATTTTGTTTGTGTACAAGTTTGTCTGTGTGTAAAAATCCGAAAGTGCCTCAGAATCGCAACAAAGTTGCAATCGAGTGTCGTGCATCTCATTAGCATATCATTATCCCTTCTGGCCTTTGTTTTCTGAAAAAATTCCCACTGTTACCGAAGTGAATGCTCTAATTAAAGCCGCACCAACACTTCACACATCTGAATTCGTCCATTGAAAAAATGAATTTTAATTAAAGCGGCGGCCTGAATTAGGAATTTTACGGTAATTATTTAATACACAACAGAAATGAGAACTTCATCATAGCTAGATCAGTTGTTTACCAATAATGATAGAGTCCAGAGAAAGACAAACAAGTTTGTCAATTTGTTTTCCCCCAAATCGATGCATACATTCATTATTTTAAAATTGTCACAAAATTTGTGTTTTTATATTTTTTGAACGAAGCAATATAATGTTTATCTCGACGCAAATACATTGGAAATTGGTTCATTAAAAAACTAAAATGCCTGATTTACTTGTTTTAGCAAGCATTGATGTCATCTACTAGGTAATCAACATTGTCTGTGATGTCTGTTTGCTGATCATGCTTGAATAAAATATAATATAATATAATATAATATAATATATAATAATGAACTTGTGTAAAGCAACATGACACTATAGAGAGCAGAGCTATCTTACCTTCTTCACTTGTGGCATCATTTTTGGACACTGGTAATGGTGACTGAGGTGGTTTTGTTATTGGATGTCTTCGAAACATTGGATTCTTCTTACTTTTAACTCTCTGTTGATCACTCTCCATTTTGGTGACTGCCTCATCTGCACTTGTGCCATCATCTTTAAATAAAGAAACTTTAACTGTAATATTTGCATACAAGACAAGTTTTACTGTTAATTGCACTGTAATTCAGACTCTGAAAGAGCACAATGGGATATACTATCATTATTACCTTTATTATGTATTCTCAATAGTCTATTAAACAAAGGTGATGTAAAGAGAGTAAAGACTAAAACTAAACAAGCACATTCTTAAAAAAAAAAATTGTGATAATTTTTTGCGCCTATTTTTTTCAGGTCAAATGCCCGTGATCTGCCTTAAAGCACAATTTATACATCACTGGCCACAGACCAAATGCCTAAATGAATCACTGCAATAAGAATGAGAAAAGACACTTCAGTAAAGCTCCTGTTGAAGCAAGGTTTAAACTCCATGAAGACATCAATATCCTTGATGCCCAATGAGTTTGTCTCAGTGCCTTTTGTATTCTTTATATTATTCCTACACCATATGAAAAACAATTTCCCATAAAAGCACATAAACAAAAAAATATTATAAACTAGATCATGTAAATGTGATTAATTTATAACCATAGACACACACCACAGTCATTTAAGCAAGTGCATAAACAACTAATATAGCAATTATGCCACTTATCAATTTTCGCCTCCAAAAAGGTGACCTTTCAACTCCTGATAAATGATAACAAGTTAATGACATACCTGTCGTTGCCATGCGATGCATTATGTGTTCTCCAGTATCATCTTTCCTCTTCCTTTTCTTTTTCTTTTTTTTTTCTGGTTCTTCACGACTCACTCTCTCTACACTAGGGTCATCACTAGTTATTTCTTTTGTTTCAACAGTCCTCTTTTTATCTGATTTGATATGATCTTTTTCCTTAACTAATCTTACAACTCTGTCAGCTTGATGACTAGCTACAATAACAAGGGGTGGTGGTTCATCTGACAGGCTATCATATTGTTCAATTTCATCTCGTACCTTCTCAGCAATCTCATCTATCTCTTCCAAATCCTGCACACTCAGTATTTTTTCACTCTCACTCCTCTTTCTTTTCTTCTTTTTATGACTATCTCCATTTTTATGAGACAAGTCTTTCTTTTTGCTTTTCTTCTTCTTCTCTCGAGGCTCTTTAGTTTCTTCTAATGGGTATCTATCCAATTCTGGAATTTCCTCTTCAGATCTCATTTGGATAGGTTCCTCTATTGAATACTTGTCCAAAAGAGGAGGTGCTTCTTCAGTTGTGGTTGTGTTTGTTTTAACTTTGGCAGTGCATGTTGCAATAACAACTGGATGTTCAGTTTCTTCAACAATAGGTTCTTTTATTTCTTCTTTCGACTTCTTTTTAGTCTCTTCCCCTTGAACAGGAATAGTTTTCTGTATTTCTCTCTCTACTTTTTCCTGCAGTTCTTTAATCTTCAAGTATTTGGGTGGTCTTCCTCGTCTTTTTCCAGGTGTTGATAATTTTGTTCTTTTCTCTTTCTTTGGTGATTGTGGTGAGTGGGTACCATGCCTCCTGGGTGTAGTAGATTTCTGATGTTTGTCAGGTGACCTGTGGACAAATAAGACGTATTACAACTCCAGAAAGTACCAGAAAATCAGAAATTAATTCTGGTGAGGTGAATGGCTATTTTTATTCTAATTATAGGAAACATACAAAGACTTAGCATAGGTGGAGTGAAAATGCTCAAAGTATTGTTTTAGATACTGTGAATCGCTTTAGTTTTGCAAGACAAATTTTTGTGAGCTGCTGTGATACTGTTGGTCAATATGCTGTTTGAATGATGCACATGGAACTCCACGGAAAGTTGAATGATTCCACTGTGAAGGTTCAACTACTACTTAGTTTATTTGGAGAGAGTAGGCTGCAGGTAAAATACTGAAGTGTACTTACGTCTGTTCTGTGGCATTAACTGCTGCTAATCTCTTACGTTTCTCAGGTACATGATTGAGGCATTCTTCTATACTCATCAGATCTTTCCCAGCTTTCCAAGCATCATAACGATGTGGTTGAAATTCCTTTACAAACAAATCCATACTGATTTTGACATTATCTCTGGTGCATCGACACAATGTCTACAATGAATCAAACATAAATAATAAGTACTGGAACAATGAACATGCACCTATAAGGCAGTCACACTAAGAAGCAGTTTGTTTTCATTTTTGCCAACCACCATGCAAATGTCTCACTGATCAGCACTAGTTCACATCTGCTGTGACAACATTGCCTGTAAGTTGTTCTATTACCAGAACACATTTACATGTATAGTTGAATAGGAAAACACCATTATTTTATCTTCATGTGTGAATGACTAGTAATTGTCAACCTGCCACTGTGCGTCTAATATCTAAAGCTTGATGATAATTCTGGTGAGTTATAATCAGTAAAAGACACCCTTTAAAGCAGTTAGAGCCAAATTTAAATTTTGCACCACTGAACATCTCGCTGTGCACATGTATAATGGAATAGTATTATCACACCGGGAACTCACTAAATTTATTAAAGTGTTAATTATTTTGAAATGTTTACTAATATAACGATTCTTATCAACAAGAATAATGTATTTGCTCTATGTAACCTATGTAATTTTTGGTATATTGTATATATGGTTAATGACTTTTTCATTTCATGTCAATGAGCACAATTTTGAGATATGAACAAATAACTTCATCATAGAAACCAGCGGGTGCAAATGTGCATATTTTGGACTTGTTTCTCAAACAATTGTACCTTTGTTTCTTATTTTATGTATTCTAATAACTTTTGCAGTAATGAAAGTGGAAGTCAAATGATGATTAACTGACAGGTGATCAGGTGATAATTTTTTGAAATGAGAAATAACAATAACTGACATCTTATTTTAGTAATATATGTATTGTATTTTACTACTAACATTTTATTGCTGTCAACCAATGGAAACTATTTCTAAGGATGCAATAAATTCATTATACAGTAATGTAAAAATCAAAAACAAACTTTACATATAATGGTTTACCTAAAACTTTCAGTTCTCATGAAATGTCTTTTTCATGACATTGACCTGCTTTTCCACATATCATGCCTGTTAAACACTGATTCTCTTTATCTTAACAACATCACGAACATGTAAACAACCAAGACACATACACACATGGGACACAACACCATTTGGTGAGTAAGTAAGTTCATTTTGAAAACAGGAAAAGATTAGATACTAATACTAGCAAATCTAATCTGAGTTAACAGGAAGGTGTAGGGTGTATTTATTTCCCTATTATTTGAATAGATGTGCTATCTGACATTCAGGCTCACTTTTACCAAGCTACAATTTGTGTATTACAGTTTGAGATGCAGATAAATCTACAATCACAATACTGGGTGACTTTATTTGATATATTAAGGTTTCATCCTCCACTGATCAAAAGTAAGACTTTATTTCCAGTTTTGTTTTTCCTAAGTGGAAACTATCTATGAACTGAAATGACAAAGCTTTGGAAATTGCATTTACACAAAAAATGTTCGCCAGTTTACATTCACCTGGCAGGTTGGATCAGTTAGGGGATAAATAAAGGAATGGAATGTAACAGCAGCAGATCATATTTCACCCACTGCCTATCATGCTTCCCTACCCTATTGTTATAATCGAACCTACCTTTGCGGTATATGGCTATAGGTAACTATGCTACTGTATTACACCTGGTACAATTAAACACACATACACATATCATACATGCATGTTATTACAAGAACATCAAAGCAATTTGATCATGACTAAAGGAATATATTAAATTGTTAGTTACCACAAATAACATTTTTCTTGTACTGTTAAGACAGGTCAAGAATAGATAACGGACCAGCAACAGACATTCTGATTACAAATATAGCCAACCAAATAACAGTTTAAAAAGTTGAAATTTTTGTGTACTACTGAAGAAAGAAGTCTTTGAAATTAGATTACCCATACTTTCTTTCTCCTTTCAGTACCGCTTTTTATACATGTACAGTTTGTATTTCAACATTCTCAAGTTTATTGATGTTGAAAATCCACGTTTGTACTCATACATCAATAGAACAAACTGAGTATGGATCCGGGGAATTTCAATGAACAGCCCTTTTAATTAATACAGGATTTTGAAGTAGATTAACACAATGAAGATTGAAAGTTCAACGGTTGTACCATTAATAATCATCAGGCAGTACGAATACAATGAAGACGAAAGAATCATTACTATTCCAACAACTTTGTTAGAGTAAGATTGTTGATAGTTGTGAAGAGGAAGGTGACCTGATCATGTCAATGAACTTTAGAATCACAATACAAAATAACACCTTATTCAGGTAGCAATCAATCAGTCCATCAGTAAATAGCTTAATTTTCCTTTCTTATTTTTCTACCCACTTGTTTACAAACCATTTATGCTTAAAGTTATTGTTTGTAAGGCAGAATAAATCTTTCCCAGCCTGTACACATGAATGGTAGTAACTTGCATTGTTCATCTATATTGTGGTCAGCCTGAAATAGCTGTAAAAAGAATAGGTGGTTTACAAATTACCTAAAATAGACTTACACTTGTGGCGAAAGAGTAGAAAATTTTGGGTGGAACAGACAGGAATCTGTACATTGCCACTGACCTTTTCACTGAACAGATGTTCAATTATTTCTCTCAGATGGAGTATAGCATCAAATGTCATGCATAATGTCAACGATACATCACAAGGGAGTGGATAACTAAACGGATCATCACATGCTTCCTGTGTACCAGTGATTAACTAAAGTTTATAGCTATAGGAAGAGGGAGAGGGAGAGAGAGAGGGAGGGGGAGGGGGGGGGTTATTTAAAGTTTGTCAACATCCTAAACCTACTTGAAGAATTTCCGTAACCATAGAATGCTGGAAACTAGTTGCCAATTCGTGAGGACACTTTGGTCATGTGTGGGATAAATTGTCCAATGCAGTAGGTGACGAAAGCTTTACCGTGAGAAAGTGTAGAGCAGACACCATTCAGTTATATTATGATTTAATCCCCTGGCCATATTCCAGTACACTTCACATACTCCTTTATGTTGTTATGTATTTCATTGAATTTACAGTTCATTCTATACTACAATGTTAACTATCCTGGGTGTCACAAATACAATTTTTTCACTATAACTAATTTTTTTTATAACAGTTGCAGGCATTTAAATTAGGACTTGTTTACCTGAGATAGGTAAGAAACTGCCTGTCCATATCAACATGTAAATAAGAAAATCAAATTTTCACTAGCTGAATTTACTATTGTTGAAACAACAGTTGCTTTAAGAGTTTTTAAAACTTTCCCATAAAAAAAAATTATGAACCAGTTTATGAATTATTATGAATTAGTTTTACATTACAAAAAATTATTATTCAATGTGGAAATAAAATTGCCATAATGCCATTATTATAGGAAGATGGTCACAAACATGGAATGTGATTTCCGTAGCAAGATGAACTTTATGCAGGCACTTGTTGTGTACTTAATAAAAGTTAGAAGTGACAAAAGTGAATGTTAAATGTAACTTGGGACAAAAAAGGTTTATAAAATAAATAAAAATACTGTTTTTTACTGTGATTAATAATGATGTTTGAAGAACAAATATTTATTCCATTTTGTATAATTAAATATCGATGTGAATGCAAGATAGGAAATTAACAGTCGAACACACCTAAGCAAGCCAGAGGTTATCTCAAAAGAGTACTGTTGTAATAAAGTAGTTTTATTGTCATTTATTACACTTATTGATTGAAGTTGGAGTTTTAAAGCAGATTAACTCATTTACTCAGACAGAGAAAAATAATTATAGAAATTTTAGGCAAAACTTATTCAAAGCTGACACGAAGTAATGGCAATATCACACTGTAGCAAAGCATACCTTTTGCTTATGCAGCTGAAATGATGCTGCACTGTATTGCACAAGCATTAATGGGTTTGAAGAGATTAATAGTTAAAAATCATGAAAAAAACAACAATTATAATAACAAAATTTGGTTTAAAAATTGCAGAGCTCTTGAAACATTATTCGTCATCAACATGCAACTTTGATATCTGCTGCATTATTAAAATACTGCAACTGCACAGACAGACAGACAGACAGCGATGGATAACATTGGCTCATCTGAACAGGGACTAAATGCTGTTTTGAACACCATGCAATTTTTCGAATTTAATTTAGATGGAAGAAGGGAATCTACGGCTTCTGTACAGCAGATTTATGTGCAATCCACGTCTTATGGGAATACACAGGAAATTAAACATAACATGATAAATGATGTAAATTTTATCAATCACAGCACTGTAATATTACACAATAGAAACACGGAGTAGTGGCAGAAAAGACACATCATAAATTATAGTCAATGCCGGAGAGAATAGTAAGACCTCCCTGTACTATTTAGTAGACAGTTAAGAACACCCAGTCTTAGAAGAGGTCAGGTGGAATTGAATCGATCACCAGGTTAAAGAAACATAATTATCTCTATGGTGAATAGAACTAAGACTTGTGGAGCCACTTATACTCAGCCTGTTTCAATCACTGCACTCACATGGCAACATGTCTGTCTATTCACACACTTAATACTTGAGGAAAGTAGATCAGGTAAAGTAATATTATTCCAAAATTCTAGAAGGAGACCAGGATAAAAACAGTGATGATAGTAGAACTCAAATAAAAGTACTTAGTATATACCGCAACACAAAACACACAGATGACAATTATCACGTAGTTTAATTTTATAAATCATCATAGAGGCAATTACTTCAAAGTGTCACACAAGTTGCAAGTTGTGCTGCAAGATTGAATATGTGGAAACAAAGACAAGGAGTCCTGGGTAATAATCAGAAACGTATCATCTCAAAAAGGTAACTAAACCTTGACAAAATGCATCAACCTTATCAAGCATTCAGTGGTATGATTACAGGTCTCCAATAAAGTGAGAATCACAGCATGTACCAATGTAAAATACTGTGGAATACTTTATTTTCGCTGGAACTAATTTTTGCTGAAAAGGCTTTTTGGGCGTTTTGTATGGAACTTATTTTCACTGATTTTTGATGAATTTAATGTGAAATATA